TGAACTATACATATATATATATATATTTTTATCTAACTTCAAATGAACTCAAAAATAATATTTTAGTATATATACAGCAGGTCAGAATTCCAAATCTCTGGTTCAAAAGTTTGTTTTTTTTGGGTCTGGAAATGTTATAATAGCTAATTTCTCTTGTTGACAAAGGTTGCATATATTGCTATGATTGTTATAAAGCTTTACTTTTTAAAAGTTTTTCAGTTTAGAACCGGATTTTTAAAAGATTTTCTCCTTTAATTTTTACACATAGTTGTCTGGTTTAGTAGAATTTCTAAGGCTTTCTAGCTTAAAAGATGACTTATGATTCTATCACCTCTTTTTAAAGTTACCCTCGTTAAACTCATTTTATTTCTACAGTTGCATATATCTTTTGTTAACAATGCATACATATATATATATATATATATATATATATATATATATATATATATATATATATATATATATGTGTGTGTGTGTGTCTCTCTATATTTATCTATACATAAATCTCTAAGTCTATCAATCTAATATATACTTAATTGTATCTATCTGTGTATGTGTGTGTTTTATATATACATTTTTTAGTTAATTTCTGTCTGTAATTCTCAGTTCCTGTATTTCATTTCTTTTTCTAATTATGGTATACACACTTTGCAAGTTTTTTGACGATTTACTAATAAGATTCTCCTTTCGACATGAAGTGTGTAGAACGCGTTCAAACCATCACTCAGTCAGTTATGTGTCATGAGTGATACACGCTTAGGTGATCATGCATCTTTTGATACATGACTGACAAGGCAGATTTTTTTTCCCGCAGTAGGTTGCCATTTCTTTCTGTGTAGACTAAATGCAATCCAAGAACCTGGTCTATAACTAGAAGAAGAGGATTCATACCTTTTAGCATTTAAGTGATTGTAATGGATTCGACTGGAATTCGAACTCGGCTCTCCGATTCCTCAATCCGAGCCGCTATCCATTACTCCACCGTACTGATATGATTATGACGATAATTTTGACCAGATGTGCCCCCCCCCAGATCTTGATTTATTGGAGGCAAACGACTGGCCAGTTGTTCGTTCACTCTCATCAGATAAACGAACAGTACGATTTTCAAACATTCTCACCAAAATATTTCATTTATAAGTTTTTAAAGAATTGCAGTAGCAACATGTCGGGTGACATTTCCCTTTTGATTGTGTTTAGATTTCATTTGATTTTTATCGCAAACTTAACTCATTACTATGCTCGAGCGCCACTCAAGGTAGAGAGTTACTGTTAAAATGATAATGGCGAATAAGGTGTGCGATATAAAAAAGTCTATTGTAATAAGTAGAGATTATGAAGAATAGGAGGATAGCTGAATGGCAAGCGAATGCTGGGCAATCTCCGCAAAGATGACAATTACATTACAATATATTAACCACTACACGCAGACTATCATTATTGTTTTGTCCGTGTATTGGTTAATATATTGTAATGTAATTGTCATCTTTGAAAATGGCTTATGTAAGCCGAAAGCTTAGATAGGATTAAAAAAAGTATGTATCAATATTGTGATTTTCTTTCTTCTTTTAATGATAATGTTATTAAGCTTATCAGACGATATGAAAAGAATTTACATAAAATAAATAGACAAAACTTGTCTATATTATTTAATGAAACATGCATCAATGAAAAAATGCTGCCTAATTACACACACACACACACACACACACACACACACACACACACACACACACATATATATATATATATATATATATATATATATATATATATATATATATATATTCTTGATAAGCTCCTGAGGCGGATATGCCCTGTTCTGTCATTTCGTCTACAGTCGCTCTCTCACAGACGCACCGTCGCCTCTCTCTGTCTTTTTTTACAAATACTTGGTAATTGCTCCAAGGAGCTGCATTCACTGGTTTCCAGACTTCATGAATTCAAGCGCCCAACGAGGCTGGCATGCCGCTCTCACCTTTTCACTGTCGAAACTGTTAAATGTAGCCGACTCTTCTACTCCAATAGCTTCATGTCTCGCACCTCTCGCCTGTGGAACTCCCTTCCCTATTCCAGTTTCCCTGAGAGCTATAAAACTATTCAAATGTAATGTCAATCGACATCTCCAGTTGCCTTGATCTATCCACTATCCTTCTCCTCATCCTTTCCTCTATCACTCCTATCTGATCTTGCTCCCGATTTTCTGTAACCCCTTGGGTCCTAGTGGCTTCCCGCCTTGCTTGGGGTGAAACGCTTAATATATATATATATATATATATATATATATATATATCCTTGTGGCCCATATCATAAAACAAATTTATTAATTTGAATATTTACATTTCTATAAATTCGTTTATGATAAATATTCTTGCATATATGAAGTCTGATCAAAAAATATCGGGAATGGTCCTAAAAAAAAAAAAAACTGAAACATATATCAGTTTGGCTTTTAATCTCTCTTACTCTCTCTCTCTACACACACACTCATATATATATA